TTGTAAGAGCGCGCACATCGACCGATTTCGGCAACTGATCATCTCCCACCATCTCCTCTCAGTTGCCAAAGGCCGCCTTGCAACTAGTTGTCCCCAGTTTCACTGTCGATGTACGCTAGGCTTAACATATGACAACATCTTCTAACCACAGCGAGGCCCTTCCACATTCTACTGACCACCGCACTAACAGGCTTTGACCAAGACAGTTCATTATCAAGTTCAATTCCAAGAAGTCTGCTCTGTGGCACCTCCCCACAGTTATGTCTCTTAACACAAAGACTCAATTTGGGTTCAACCCGCAGCGGATGTTTTGTTCCAAAAACAATACTTTTTGTTTTGCCAATGTTCAGAACTAGCTCGTTGTTTGTAACCCACTCACATACTGATTTTAATTCCTTCCTTAAAATAAGTTCTAGCTCTTCAACCGTACTTTGTGACAAATAAAGGGTTGAGTCATCGGTATTCATTGCTATTTTTGATTTTTTTTTAGCACTAGTGGCAAGGTGTTATAATAGTCTATAATAACTTCAGAAAATCATGAACACACATAATATGCCATTAGACTGCACAGCATCCCTGAAAGTATGAAAAGATGTATAGTTACAATCAGTGTTGGGCACGTTACTTTGAAAAAGTAATTAGGTATAGTTACTAGTTACTTCTCCCAAAAAGTAACTGAGTTACTAACGGAGTTACTCCACTATAAAAGTAACTAGTTACCAGTAAAAGTAACTATTGCGTTACTTTTTCGTTTTGTTCTGGAACATAATGTGCACCCGACGTGCGCATTTTTACCTTTAACAGTGCCAATATTTCCATCTAGAAAAGGCTGTTTTGCTGCTGAAGTCCTGTTCACTCTTCATCTCTCTCTGTGCACCAAGCACTAAACACCAACACCCGCCACTGTGAATGTGGAAACACCGGTGACGAGCGGTGAGGCTGGTGAAGCACTGACTTCAGTCCAATCAGATGAACATATAGCGTTACATCATATAAATCAAGTGGACAATTTGTTTGGCTACAGCAAAATATGTTTTATGCCCGCATTGTTTGTTCATACAAAACGCAAAACTATGAGTTATGGGTCTTACCTTATAAATGACCTGCACAGTCCACTTCGGTTCAGACCAGTTCCTTGATTAAATCCAGTTAATGGTTTGAGCGTAGATATGTAATCCTCCATTTGGAAATGAGTCCAATGAGTTTTAAAAAGTAAAACAAAACGCGTGTGTCCTCCATAAACTCCTCTGTTTTGCGGCAGCCGAGTGCATCCAATTTCTAAAATCAACCGTCTTACACTTCACCTCTCTTTCTTATCATTCCTATAGTAATTGAAAAAATACCCTATGTGCATTTTAGATTATGTAAAAATGTGTTATATGTATGTTAGCCAAACCTGTTGCTGTCCTTAGCAGATAAACCAGGAAGAGCAAGGAGCTTATTGATGGAATTGTATGCAGCCGACTTCTGCGCTCACATGCGCTACTCTGTGGCTGACCTCACGGTGATACAAGCCGTGGTTGAGCGCGATTAAGACCCATATTTGTTTCAAAAACACAATTTATGAGCTATCCTCTCAACTGTAGACATGTAGATTGTAAAGGAAATATGATTTATATCAGCCAATAATTGCTGAGAGGTTTTCTCATCCTCCCTTCTCTCATGACAACACGTTCATTGTGCGTCTTGAGTAACGCGCAGTAACGGGATGTCGGAAATGATAACGGCGTTATAGTTACTGTCAAAGTAATTAGTTAGATTACTCGTTAATGAAAAAAGTAACGGCGTTAGTAACGCCGTTACTAGTAACGCCGTTATTCCCATCACTGGTTACAATAAATATGTAATGACTGAAGTGAATTATTCAGGATCCTGTGTTAAATTCCTGAATCCTTTGGGGAGCTACCTGAGAAGGGGTGGTGAGCTACCGGTAGCTCCCAAGCCACATATTGGAGATCCCTGATCACATATTTTAGTTTCAACTATAACTAGAATTGATGCTGATGATTACGTCTCTATAAAGATACAGTATTTCTTCTGCCATGGAGAGACGTAAGCATATTCTGGCTATTATTGAACCCTCTGCTGTAGATGTTTATGTCGTGCAATAGCAACAGAGCGTTGCAGCAATTATCCTTGACGAGAGTTCACTTTCGGAGGCCGTTGCATCAGTCTCAGTTTGGGTCCATCTCTACAACTGCTGCACAGGGAGCCGTTAACGCGGCCCCTACTGCCCCGCATCAATCCTCACATATGATACGTCTTATGTAATGTGCAATGGGACAGTGGCAAGCCCTTCACATCAGTTAATACAAAGATATAGTGCAAAGTTCACATTCATGTACTTAACAATTTGTGTATGCATTGTAGAATGATCAAACTGTAACCTTATGTGAGAACTTTGCATAAACACTAGGGGTGTCAAATCGGTCCTCAAAGTTGCAGATTTTAATTCCAACCTAACAGAAATGGAGACTCACTTGAGGAACTGGTGTGCTCCTGCTTGGTTGGAATAAAAATCTGTCGTCACAGCCATACCTTTTGATATTTTTTGTTTCCACTGAGTGCTATTTTGGCTATTTTACCACAAAAAAACACAAGATTAATTATATGCATGCAAATAATTTTTTTTTGAATTTACAATGACCACATCAATAATGGGACAAATGTGGATCTAAAATTTAGTTATATTAAACATAAACTAAAACATAGGCCATACAAAAACTCATACACCAAAGCAGGAAAGCGTAAAACTGCTCTTATTCCTCAAAATGTCGCAGTATGAAACTAACTAGACAGTACAAAACACATAGTTTGCTCTTTTCAGACTTAAGTCCATAGATTAGTCAGCACGGGTGCAGAGCGGCACGCCATCTGTCCTCCCTAACGAGCCGGCCAGGTTATTGTAAATGCAGTACGCCGAGGCCCTGGAGGACAGGGGCCCAACCAGGATCCAGTGTGTGATTTATTAACTGAATAGTGCCAATTAGCTCTGGACAAAACAGCGTAGCATTACAGCGGACAGGAGCAAGAAGTGGCTCATCGGACCACGGCGTCGATCAGGAGGGCGGGGTTTCCGAAAATGGATGGTCTCATCTCAAGGGTGAAGAAGGTCTGGAGTTAACTCACATTTTGTTTTGGATGAGGACTTGTTAGTTTGTTTATTCATTTAAGTTGGTATCAAACTGTATTAGGGGTGGGCGATATGGCCTAAAATTCATATCGCGGTATAATTTGGGTCATAGACGGTAGACGGTATATATCGCGGTATAATTTGGTGTGTGAATTTCAATATAGGTCTAGCAGGTTCTTGCATAAAATAGTCAAGATTGTTAATTATTTATATATTAGAATCTAATATATATTTTTTGAGTTAGAAAATCAGTTGTGAGACGAATAAAGAGACAAATAACATACATTATTTATGTATGTTACAGTAAATACCATTCACTGTAAAAGCAATTTTTAAAAAGAAAAACATATGCATTCATTTAAAAAACTCACAAATGATGAAAACAAAGTCTGTAGGAGTTAGACATGGTCATTATTTATAGTGTCTGAGAGTTTTGTGCAGGTGCATGACTTCAGTAAAAGCTGTTTGTTTACAAAGCTGGTCTTGCCATTTGTTGACGCTCCCTAAGCGCTTTTCTCTGCGCTTGATGATTCAATGGATTTTATGTTCATTAAAACAGCGCATTGGATTTGAACAATTTATGTAAATGATCATTTTGGCACAAATAATTTTGTTTAACAAAGTAGCTTTCGTGAGATATTGACCGCGGAGGTCCGAATCTGACGCAAACTTTCCCAAACTTCTGATGTGATGCTGCTGCGGACACGGCACATGGATCTATTTTGGCTCACACTGGCGCTTCGAGCTTACGCCCCTTTGACACCGATTGGCCAAAAGGTAGACGCTTAAACTGTGATTACTGTGTGTGTATTTACCTCTGCTGAGGCCGCTGTGACAACAATACAGAGACAGAAACACGGTGTTAATGCCGTGCTGTTGTTCGTTGTTTCCAGTGGTGTCCAATAGTGCTAGGCTAATGTGCTAGGCTAATAGTGCTAGGCTAATGCTGCTGAATGCCGGTTTGTTTTGGTCCTTTCTGCTGGCGTCAGAGCCTGCGCAATTTAATGACATAATGACGTATCGCAATATGCCGGTATAACAAAAATCTCTACCGTGGGCCAAATTTATACCGTCTACCGCTTATACCGTTTATACCGCCCAGCCCTAAACTGTATATATGCTCAATGTGATATTTTGTTTAGAATTTGCTTCATGTCATCATTTCTCATGAGGCCATTTCCTTATGCGAAAGCCAGATCCCGTCAGACTTCTGAAGCTAAGCAGGGCAGGGCCTGGTTACTACTGTGATGGCTGACCTCTGGGAAGACCAGTTGTCGCAGTGGGGATCTGCATCAATCGTTCCTTAGGCAAGACACTTCACCCACATTGCCAAGAATGAGTCTGGTCTATATACAGTAGGTCCCATTCCGTTTTGTCGCCTTTCACGCGTGAATCACACGAGACTCACGTGTGAATCACGCGTCTTTTATTTTCCCCCCTCCCAGTGACGTTGCAATGACCAAAACAACCACCAGGTGGCACTTGTGAGCAGGGTTACATTGGCGAGTTTCTGCCCCGCACACAATGACAATCTGGTTAAAAGGAGCAACTCCTTGTAGCAGGCCAGTCTCTGGAATAACCCGCAGACATTAAAACTACTGCATACACTGATAAAAATAAATTTTAGGTGTACTAAATGTTATCATATAAAACTATATAATTCCTACATTGTTTATATAAGAAACTGTGTTTACTTACTTTTGCTAATTAAAATTGTGCACCAAAACGTGATTTAATCATTTAAAAAAGGGGTATTATATAGACACTGTAACAGTTACTTCAATTATAGAATTAGTCCATGTTCTATCAATGTGAAAACGCGAGTGAAATGTATTCAAAAAATTAAAGCTCCTGTTTGAATTAGCACATGCGCAGTGTGACCAAGACGAACGCGCGATCACACGGCTGTCGCTCTCTCCCAGCCGATCCATGCTCCCAGCAGACTCGAACGAACACGAAGTGGAACGTGAAGTTTAATGTAAGTAACTTTTCAATTGTTTTTTCATGTGACAGTATATTCATTATTGTCTTTGGGTTGTGTTGCATTGTACACATGTCGTCATTGCGTCACATCAGCGTCGGCTAACATTATATTTTTAGATGCTAGGTATTTTTTCTCCTGCGTCAAAATGGAACTGAGAGATATTCAACTTTTCGTCACATGAAACAAGGCATAGCCTATGCTATGTTATCTAACGCTGGTTTAAAACTCAATTGAATATTAGTTTAGCGTTAATCGGACTAATTTCCATCCGCGGGAAATAAGGCACATGGTGTTTGCTAGCTTAGTTAAACAAGTTAACCATTTGAAAAGAACTAAATAATTTATTTTCTCATTTTCCTTGGAAGTAACACAAGGCTACGCAATGTAAGCAAATAAGTATAATACAGCTCGGAAACTTGTGTTGAAACAATCGCGTCAAATACTACAGTTCCCATCATGCTTTTGCTTTGTCACGTGTCCTCCTCAAACAACAACAAGCACAGGCATGCCTGTGCTTTATTTAGCAAAGAGTTTGGTCTCGTTTCTCAAACGTAAATCTGGGCTGTGTACAGAGGACTGCGTGCTTCGGTATGTACAAACGACGCTGCGCGTGATTTGATTCATAGCGTAGTTAATGTTGTAGCGTAGCTTCTTCTGAGGCCAGTTTTCATTACTTTCATGACTGTCTTTCTTATATCGCTATGCACTCCACTAAACATGGCTGATACTTAGTTATTATTGCTTAACAAGTAGATACGTCTTTCCGTTTTTTTCGTTTGGAGACTGAAAATATATCCCAAAGCATTTATGTTCCCCCCGTGCAACTAAAATTGTATGAATTATTTGTGAATTTAGACAATTAAATAATAATTATGTGAACATTGTGAAATTAATCACAAGTAATGTAATGTTACAGTATATTTGACAATTTATAAATATTACATTATTTATATATTATACTGTAATGTTAAAGTATATTTTACAATTTTCTTTCAGATTCAGGAGAGAAGTGCTGATATTGACACCAGATCTTATACCCACCACTTCTACTTTGGTAGCTTCAATCAGGTAAAAATGTAACTATACATTTGATTTATAGTTTACTAACTGTATACAACATTGAATCCATATTTTTGTCTTGCAGGGGACCAATAATCAAGACTCAAAGAAGGAGAAAGATTAGAGACAGTAGGCTTTTTAGATGAGATGGCAATGCAAAGTTTGCATTGCCATCTCATCTCAAAAGAGATGGCAATGCAAAGTTGGAGAATCACCACCATTCCTCTTGAGCAGACCTTCATGTTCAATCTGGACAAATACACTCCAAATTTACTTTCTGTGTTTGCGAAGAAGGGTGGTGCTATCGGGGCAAAACTGAAACCTGTTTTGAACAAACAGATACAGGTATGTTTAGTCATAACTTATGCTGAGTACAATACATAATTTGTTCTTTCCCATTGATAAATCCCTGTTTTGGTGCTATTTACAGAACCAAACAATTGAGATGAGACGTGACAATGTGATTCGTGGTTTAATGCTCTACCTCGGTGAAAATGAGGAAGAACTCTTTCTAGATTGCCAGGTACCATTCTTGATATTTTTCTCCCCCATTCTCTCAAAAACTCAGGGTCGTCCTATTCCTCACATATTTAACCTGTTTTGTAAGAGTGAGTGTCAACACTTCAAATACACCAAACGAAATACAGTGGTAATTTAAAGCTCTCACTGTCAGAGTTTGGGAACTCACTGCTCTTTCTTTTATAAACTTGTTTTGATTGTTTTTTTATATTGTGCCACGATGATGAACTCCAATGTAATGTAACACAGCATGTTGACCCATGACAAAAACACACGTCCGTGTTTTGGAATCACCTTATGGCTGTGTCTATGATTATGACCTGTCTTGTGATTATTGATCAATCAAGTATAATGTTTGAAGAGAACAAAGGTAGTCTGAGGCACTCTGTTTTGGTGAAAAAATTAAAAGTCCTTTAATGAATTGGACTGCCTACGCGTTTCGACCAACAGCGGTCTTTGTCAGGGCATAAATTAGATAAATAAAAAGATTTATGGCTATAGAAGTGAGCTATAGCTATAGCTATGTAAGCTATAGAGTGTATTTATCAAAGTAATTCTTCCTCTTTACAATTTACCCAGGCGCACTTAGAGGATGTTGGCCGGCACAAAATGAAGATCCTGGTCGTTTGTTCTTCCTCTGATGAAGAACCTGTGGATGTCTCTATTGTTCTCGACGGCAAGGAGATTGTGACTGGATGTGGAAATACTGCAAAGGCATGTGCACTGCTAATGGGTCTAATATATTCCTTCAATCTTGCTTATCCTACAACACTACGATACACCTTCGAAGTATTTCAGAAGATTTTCTTACATTTAGATGCATTTAAGCCATCCCCGAAAATACAAACACTGAAAGTCAAGCTACTGTCCAAAACATAAGAGAAGCAATTTTGTTCAGCATAAGAGAAAAGGCCACAGATTTTATATAATTTGATGTTGTTACTTTAGCTTAGACTCTAGCTTAGACTAGAATATGAAAATTAGTCATTAAAACATGGACATGTTAAATTAATTGACTATTCTTGAATCTAGTAACTCCTCATGTAACAGTGTTTTAATTAGGGAAAATGTGAAAGAGCTCGGCCACTTCTAAAATTACCTCGGTCTGGAGCCATTGAGATTTACTGCGAGAGGCTAATGCTACAACATCCTGGTCTTTAGCTGAACAGAGGCTCAAAGACCAGGCAGGTGCATCATCTCATCTAAGCTAATGACATTTAATTATAGAAAATCAATGGCCTATCTCTATACCATTCCCATTGCATCCTTTTTGTGATAATTAAGTTTTCTGTTGTCATGTGTTCTGCTTTTAAGGTCAGCTTTAGTTCATCTTTTAGTTTTCATTGTTGATGTGTGAACTTAAAAGTTTGTCAATAAAACAGGTTGTTAAATGTTGATATTTGCATATTGTTTTTTCTTATTAATTCAATAATAATGTAATTGTTACACACATATAGTACTTAATAAGTATTATTGCAATGATATGAAATATACTGATAAAATATAAATAACATTTATTCAAGTTATCCATTATTGTAAATGATCTGTACACATAATGGTTACTCTGATCTGTACACATAATGGTTACTCAGTATATCTATTTCACACATAAATAACCTAAAAAAAATCACATAAACCTTACTTGATTATTTTATGTGATCAAGTAAAAAAAATCACATTTGTTAAGTAAGGTTTACTTACAAATAACATTCAGATTATACTTGATGAAATAAAAAGAGTTTTACTTGATTTATAGTAATCTTTAATTATATCTTCGTGCAAATACTTACGAGGATTTTTTTAAGTAAATGTTAATCACAATTTTTTTCAGTGTATAACGTAAACTTTTGCATCACGTTGGTGATCTTTCCAAAAAGAGAGAATATCGTTATGGAAAGAGAAACTATTGGTAATATAACGCTGAACGTTATTTGACTCAAACAGCTCCGCTGGTGTCTCCTCCCACTCAGAAAAAAAGCAGACGCCTTTTCTCTGGCATCTCTAACATTTATAATAAATACATAAATATAATTAAAAGTAGCTTGCTATATAGAAGCTATTTTCAATTAAACAAACTGCAGTTCATGCAATTTTATATTTTCCTGCATTAACATGTTTGCTCATTTCTTATTTTTTGCACAATTCTTGAGTGTTTTATCCATGCCAAATGTGACATGTACATTTCTCCTGTGTGAGATTAATAAAGCTTATCTTATTATTTGAGATAAACTGTCAGTCAGATAAAGGTTAACATTTTGTAGATATTTATTTAACAATAGCCCAAAACACCAAAAACAACAAAGAGTAGGCATCTGAAAACATATTTCTTTTCGCTCATCTCGACTAGAGTGACGTACTTTTGGAGGTATGGCCACGGTACAACACTTTGAGAGTCCTTATCATGGTCCTCCTCCACCGCGGCGGCTCCTGGGCTCTCTGCCGTTGCTTTTGCTTCCCCCAGTAGCGCGCGCGCATGTGTGTGCGTGTGTGTGCGCGTACGTTTGTGTGTGTGTGTTGTTACCAAGCCCTGCGCATGCGCATCAGCATTCTGTCTTTCTATATGTTTGTTTTATGCTGCGGGAAAATGCTGTAATATATGAACATCAGAGATGTCCGTGAGAAAATAGCTTTGGCGGACGCTACCGCGCTACTTGAGCAATAATATAGCTTAGCTACAGAAAAGTTACTAGGTTTTGTAAATAGTGACGCTACTGTCAAGCTACTGAAAAATGTAGTTAAGCTAGTAGCGACGCTACTGCCCATCACTGGTGTTTCGCTGCATTCCTATGCAAAGTAGGGACATTAGCATGAAAAAGAGCGTGATTTCCTGCCGTTTAGGGTGACGAAAATCTAACTTTTCATGCAGTGCCATATACTGTAGTCGCTGCAGGAGCAATTGTCCATTATTTTAATTGGATTTCTGGTCCATGCACACTGTAAAAAAGAAAAAGTTAGTTCAACTCAAAATTTCAAAGCAACCAGCTGCGAAGGATTTTTGAGTTGAAGGCATTAACTTAATTCTTCAAGTTTTGAAGAACTACACTTATTAAGTTGTGTCAGTTAAGTTTTCCAAGTTCTGCCAACTAAGTGTTTAAATTCAAGTTACTGGAAATTTCAAGTCTGTAAAAACTTTTTAAAGTTCAGATTACTGTCCCCTACAATAATTTGGCTTGGCCCTGTCGATTACGGTTGGTAAAAATAAATATTGTCATTTGCTTCTGTCCTGTTAGTCAAAATAAAACATATCACGACTGAATAGTTTCTCCCTGTAAAACTAAAGCTCATTTCATGGCTTTGGTCATCACATACAAAACTGTTGAACTCGTTCAAAACCAAAATCTGTCAATCTGATTTCATACAATACTTTATCTTTTTACATCCTGAACATTTTTCCTAACACGACAAGGTGTGTTTTTTTATTGTTTACATTTGTCACAGTTCTACCATAATGATTGTGAGATTTCATAACACTTTTAAGCAACTTTTGTTAAAGTTAAACTCATCATTCTATCAATGTGCAGAAGCCTGTACTTTTCCCTTGTTTTGTCTATCTGAAGGCCAAGCTACATGGCACTGTGGCAGCTGCTGATTGGAGGTCTCCATGCCTCCGCTCTGTATAATACACTTGTATTCTGTTGTATCTGTTGTTCGTGCTGTCTCTACCATCGACAATAAAACATGTCTTCTGTCTGAATTTAAGACGCGATCCCAGACTTTGTCATCTTCTTCAGGTGGTGGAGAATGCGGGCATTGTCTGTAACATCTAGAGAACAGAAGACTTTTTTTTTTTACACAAAAATGTGTTTTTTTTTTTCAAGCCAAAACTGAGAAACCTCAAGAGAATGCATCTGGATCAGCACACTTGGACAATCTGCACAGCCCCTGATTCCAGTCAGGCTGTGAGCTGCTGAGACATGGACAACACCAGCGTCCTCTTTTGCATGGACATCATTTGGAACAATTGGATTTTACAAAATTTGGACATTGTCAAATTTAGGAACATTTTGAGTTGTATTTTTTACAGTCCGGCACCAGAAGTCGCATTAATGGAGTGTTATAACAACATTATTTAAAGAATAAAATTCAGAGGCTTATTATATAATAATGATTCGAAGTTGCGTGTTGGCCCCTGTTTGAAAAGAAGGATAGGTTGGCTGCTAACATTTGCATTATTGATTTGCAACTGTAGGTAATGACTTATAACACAGGCCTGGGTGGCTTTTGGTTATCGTGTGGGGAGAGGAGAGCTGCTTCTGTCCCGTATTTTTAGCATGGTAAAAACCCTGAAGGAGCTAGCTTGTTTCCAATCTGAACACAGCACATTTAATTGACTCACTTTTGTTCTGATTGGTCTTTGAAGGTCTTCTCGTGCTTCGTCTCAAAATGACGCTTAACACTTGAAGTTCTGCACACCAACATTTTCACAGCATAAAGTGCAACACAGCACGGTCCTTCACAACACAAAACCAAACTCTTGTGTCCAGTAGGACACAAGAGCCCGGCCGCGTTGCCTTTGTTTTACATATCTTATCACTATCAATGCTATCTGTCATTCATTCGGCGCGAAGACAGCTGAGCGAGGGCGCTAATCCACGTATGGTCCTA